AAGTTTCCTCTTCGGTCGGATTTCAGCCCGTTTACTCGTCAATATGCGAGAGTTTAGAGCGATGCGCGCTCCCGCGACAGGGGATGCAATTCTCGGCAGGCATGCATTTCTCGGCATAACACCGGCTACACTTTTCTTCCGAGTACTCACAGTGACTTCACTGGACGCCCGGGGTCTTTAAGAGGCCCGTCAGTCATGGAGGAAGGCCAGGGAAGGGAGCGAGCAGGAGAAAGGAGCTCCTTGTTCTGCTCAGAGGAAAGACTTCAAGGGTGACGGACAAAAGGGTAAAGGGACGGCAGGGGGAAACATTCATCCCTCTCACATTCCAGGATCGTAGCCTCATTTCCTGGGTCGGTCAGTATTCAGGCCATCTCATGGGTACAGATGATGTCATGGTGGCAGAGAAAGAGGATGTTATGAAGCCGGTCCGGATGGGCACCACGCTGGTTTGATGTTATCGACAGGAACTAAAACCAGGTTTAGTTTCAGTCACGTCATTCGAATTTGCTATAGAAATATCCTCCTTTGATGTGTTTTATTGTGATTAGTGTAATTTATGAGAAATATGTGTGATAGTTATAGAAACACAGGCCAGTGAATCCAAGCTTGATGTGTCATGACTGAAAATGGATGAAAGCACCTGTTCTCCCTTTGTCTACCCAAGGTAGACTTTAATTTAGAAGTATCAGAAGTAGGAAAACACTGACACCTGCTGGTGGCGTGTGTGAAGCACAACACTACCAGGCTACTTTACATCAAACCGATTTTATTTAACAGCCTGTTGGTACAATGCACTTTTCATAAGATTAAAAAGCTATATAAATGATATCAAATTAATATTTGAAAGATAAAATTAAAAGCAAGACTTAGTTTTCTAATCTATTTATACTCCAGTTATTGTGCATGACAAATCAGATTGTGTGAAGAAGTATGCTTTTCCCTACTATTGTGTGCTGCTACATTTGATATTAGACGTTTATTACCTATTTTACCACAACACTGTTATGTTGCATGCAAATATACACCCGTGTTCAGCAACAGTGCAGTGCCTGAAGCTCCTTTCCACTGGTTTTGTCTATCAAACCTCTTGTATTGCTGCTGTTAATATGAAATGTGACCGTTTACATACTGCCGTTTCTGTGAGAGTTAGTCGTACTTTGTGTCGTAAATAATTTGCATGGTGAAGTGCTAAAGACGAACCCCATATCCACTGTGTCATTAAATGCGTTTTCTTCATTTGGGTTGTTCACTGTGGTGCATTTGAGTGGCCTAAACTTCCTGTCCATACTCAAACAAAAAGGATTGGCGTTGTTTTGTTCTGGATCTCAGGAGTTTCTCAATTCAGTCAGAAGAACTCTTTTCCTCTGACGTGTGGAGTTCCTCAAGGGTTGCTTCTCACTGCCCTAATTTTCATTTGACCTGCTTATAAAAACCAAACATTTCCTTCCAATTCTTGGCAGATGATCTCCAGTTTCATCTGCTTTCCAAATATAAGTATTCATGGTTAGAACTACTGTGAACTATTATCAGTTTGGTTATCTAGTAGCTTCATGATTGCCTTTCAGCAATGGTAGTCTTCTTTGAAGGTTTATGGAGCGTTAACAAATTCTTTCCACTTCAGTTGTGCCTCCAGAGTTACGATGGGCCTCTTGGCTGCATCTTTGGTTAATGGAGTATCTCCTAAGGATATAGGTGTATAATGGGGGACAAAATATATGCTACATTTCAAAAGCTGCGACACGTTTGAGTGACGTTGACACAGAGGAGCCCTGAAAGTGTTGAAACTTTCTGGATGGACCTTCACACGGACGAACCGGCTTTCTGCGACGCTTTTCTGAACATTGGCAGCACCAACCAACCACTTTTACAGCCCAAAAGTATGTTTTATTTATAATTGTTTGACACATTTTCATCATGCGAAAGGATACCTAACAAATGTCAGATCACAGATTCTAAATCTAGCACAATTTCTGCATATCATGCATCAGTGAAAGTTTTAAAATGTGTACTGAGAAGGGTTTTAACGGCAAAACCTTTTCAAAAGAGCCAATAAAACCAATTCAAAGTGGTTTCTGCGTCGCTCTCTGGTGTGATTTGCTCATCAGTGTGACAATTATCATGGGTTTTGTCTTAATTCCCCACATGGGAGCAGAACGTCGGGTCCTCTTCACCTCTGCAGCGCCTCAAATGTAATGAACTACTCTTTGTTCACTTCTGAAACACCCTGGCACACAAATCTCAAATTCCTGCTTTTCCGTCCCCTCGGTCAACACTGCAGAGAGGACCTGTGAGGCCTGCTTCTTAAGGTGCTGTGCTCTCTTTTGGAGGCGTGACTGAGACATGGAGACGTTTTGAAGCCATTTGTGTCTCTGAGCTGAATGTCTCCAGTGATGGAAGGAAAAAAAAAAAAAAACGCCACAGCTTGGTGAAAAAAACTGAAATCTGGAGGTCTGATGCTCCCATTCTACTAAATGTTCAAGTACAAAGGAAAGAAAGATGCAGTTTAAAGCATCTTCACAAACACTTTGATAAATAATTTGAGAAACCCTTGAAAGGCAAGATAAATACAGATGAATTTTCACTTTCGGCCACCTTTATGCAGCGCATGGAGAACCTTCCCACATTGGGAAATAAAAAGCGCTCATCTGAAAAAGTCAATATTTTCTCTGGATATGTGAAGGTTCCTCCCTCACTGGTCGGCGTCAAACTGACGACACTCCACACAACATATAAACGAACACATCGAACAACACTCTGCATCCAACTCAGGGCTCAACATAGAGGAACTTAAACTGGTGAGTATGAACTTTGGACTCTAACAGTTACATGTATATGTTTTCGGATGTATATATATATATATATATATATATATATATATATATATATATATATATATATAGAAACTCTTTCATTATCATAAATCGCTAACTCAAACTGGATTTGCTGAATCCCTAAATCACTGATTGGTTATTTCTAATCATTAGACAAAATTTTGACTTTATAAACAAGAGTTTATAGGAATAATTTCATTTTCAAGAGAGATGAATAGAGTTTGCAGGTTTTTCTTACAAATGCAAATTAGAGGCTTTTTTTTTAAACTTTCATGTTAATTTCAATTATTACTCACCTTCTGAAATCATGTAAGGGACTCTCAGTGTCAATAACAGAACATTGATGTATACTGCAATTCTTACTATATTACAAAGATGTTAAGACAATCATCCCAATGAAGATAACACATTTTGAGGTGCAGATTACGGTACATTTAGCTAATATTGTTTAAAGCAGTTTGACCTGTCCAGAGTGGACCTTCCTTTCAGTTATAAACACTCAAAATGTTACAGACGTCTACTTTCACGGCTTTGTAGCTCTTAAGTCAGACATACAAATAGTTCAAGTGTATGCTGATGACTCAAGTCTCTTTTTCAACGACTTCAAAATTACAAGTGAACTTGTATTGCAGACCAACAAGTCCTAAAATGTACTGTTTGAGATTGATCTTTCTTCATTAAACTTGTAAAAGACAGGCTTGGATAAAACAAAAAAAAACACAATTGACTCGGTCTGTAATCTCAAAGGAAAAGCTTATTGGTTAAAAGCTCCACTCCTCTGTGAGTGAGATTAACCCCACAGGAGTGTAAACCAGCCTTCGGCCTTCGGAGGCTGAAAACACCATTTGCAGATTCGCAAAGGGGCCAAGGCTAAAAAAAAAGGCCTTCAATAAAGTGGAACAGTCCCCCTGGTGATGAGAAGCAACCACTGTTTGCTGTGGTCTCTGTGGCCCACTGCTGGAGGCAGCTCAGGTGCGATGACTTTAAGTCAGTCTTTAAGTTTCAGCAGTTCTAAAGCTTAGAAGAAAATCTTCAGAGAAGCTTGTATTCCTACTAGTGAGAAAATACACAGAAAATGAGGACAAAGTCCGGATCAGTGTTTCTCAATTCCGGTTCTCAAGGACCACTGACCTGCTTGTTTTAGCTGCCTCCCTTCTGCCACAAACCCGTCTTGAACAGGCTGGTGATTGACAGATTTCTGTAGCACTGGATGGGATGCAGAGGAGCTCATGTAATCATTTGAATCAGGTGTTCTGGAACAGAGACATGTCCCAAATATGCAGGGCAGTGGCACCTGAGGACCGGAATGGAGAGACACCAGCATAAATTACCCTGATGTATTACATCAGCTTATCAACATTGAGCTTTATTTGCTTTATTTCCCATTTTAGCACCGTTTGTTCAGAATTTGCTTGCCAAACAACAGCCTAGCTCTAGATCAGGAGTCTTCAACTCCAATTCTTAACATCCGGTGTCCCACTACTTTCAGATGTGTCCCTGGTCCAACACTCTTGAGTCAAATGAGTGAATTACCTCCTCCATATGGAGTCAAGTTCATAACACGTATTATTTTAGTCAGGTGTGTTGAAGCAGAGACGCATCTAAAAGTTGCAGGACACCAACCGTCAAGGTCTTGAGTTGAAGACCCCTATTCTAGATCATCTAACATCATTGACTGTCTGTGCGCAAAGAATGATCTTTGCTGTTTAAATCTGAGAGTCGGTGCTCTTTTATGCTCCTGTGAAAGGGTGGCGCCTGTCGAAGGACCCCCTCGGGTGTCCCAAGCGTCTCCTTGTTCAGGGACTCAGGTTTCCCGGAGGAGAGCCCACACAGACACAATAACAAGATAACAGCCGGAGGAGAGGTCCTGTTGGTGTTTGTCACATGTTTTTAGTGTCTGACAGCTGCCTCTGCAGGGACTATGTTCCTGTTGAGATTCAACTTCTCAGAGATCACAACCCAAGGGGGCTACTAAAGAACATTGTGTCTGAAAAGACAGTTTGGAGTTTTACTCTGTTGGAAAAGGCATAGAAGATGGAGTAAATCTTCAAGCCAGCTCTGGCCTTCAATGGAAATGTCATTCTTTTCATCTGTCACTGTATAAGTCAGAAGACAATCATGCCTTTTCTCTGCTTCTTTCTTTTAGGCTCCTTGTTTTTGCTGGTGAACATGGAGAGATACACCTTGCCGCTTAACTCAACCTCTGTTCTTGCACAACTCCCCTTCAATTACACAGTTGATGCCAACGCCTCTTTCAAGCCTTTCAGTGTGTTTGATGGCTGTGATATGTACATCGAGGCAATTCTGTTTGACCTTACCTTACAAATTATCAACGTAATCGTGGGGATTCCTGCCAACCTTCTTGTTATTGCGATTCTCATCCACAATCGCAAAGAACCGTCCACTTCGGACCTGTTCCTGGGCTGCCTGGCCTTCATGGATGCTTACTTTGGCTGCATGACGCCCCTCAGCTTCTTAAATCTTTTCCTCTTGCAAAGCAAAGAGTTGTGGTCAGCGATTAAGTTTTCCTTCGGCGTGAAAGACACCAGTGGCCCGCTGTTTCTCTCTTGTATCTGCTTGGATCGATTTGTGGCGGTGGTCTTTCCGATCACGTTTGGGCAGCTGAAGTCCATCAAGTACAGGTTAAGCCTCACCCTGCTGGTACTCTGCCTCACCTTTGCCTACTCTTCTGCCAAGATGGTGGGCGGTCTCCCCAACTTCGAGAAGGTGTTCACTGGTGAGGTCCTGGCAGCTTTCGCCTGGATGGTGGTGTGCAATGCAAGCATCTTATGGGTCCTGAAGAAATCCAGTGGCGTTGGGAAAGACGAAATGCACCCGATGAAGAAGAGGGCATTCAAGATGGTGCTCTCCATCCTCTGTATCATTGTGTTCAACTATTTGCCTCTTGTTGCACTGTTCCCGTTCGAAGACCATTACACCCCTGAAGTGTTTCGTTGCTATGTGCAGCCCACCGGCTTTGCTTTTCTCAACATCAGCAGCACTATCCAACCACTTGTCTACCTGTCCCGTCTGGAGAAGGTTCCTTTCCTCCCGGAAGCTTTTATTAAGAAATGTACTTCCTGCATCAGCACAGGAAAAGACACAGAAGTCTCTGAACCAAAGCCATCTGCTTAGATTTATATGAAAACTGAACAGCATGTCATGAAAGAGATGGGAGAGCATTCTTCAAAAGGCTTAGATAGAAATGCAATGATAGCCATGTTTACCAATTTTTAACTAGAAAGTGTGACATCTTCATAATGATATCAAATGCATTGCCATGTGATGAGAAGTGAACTGTTTGAGTTTGGCGCCATCTTGTGTACAAAATAAATTACATTTTTTAAAAAATTCCTGAGTTGATGCCAACAAATCTGACAAGTTTTGAGTTGAGTTGGCTGAATTTAGTCTGTTTTTCCTAATTCGTCACATACAAAATATCAAAAAAGACAAAGGAGCATATCTGAAAGTTCAGTATCGTGCAGCAACAGAAAGTCACTAGGTTTTCTCATCTGCCTTCTAAAAATGAAGCACCAAAAGTAAACACAAGTAAGTTCATCTTCTCCAAATTACAGAAAGCAGAAAACCTACAATGACAAAACGCAATCACATGTCATCAGCATCTTTACAGATAAAGATTTTAGATGGATTTTTGATCATAACAAATCCATCCATCCTGTATGGCATAAACTATACATGATTAGTTTAGTTGGTTATTTATAATGCAACTTTGTGATTAATCTGTCTTTTTGTTGTTGTTTTTGTTTATGTGTTTAGCTGGTGAAATATTGCTTTGTTTTTATGGCATTTACAGTGATGCTCCCAGTTTCTTTCTTCTTGGAAAATAAAAGTGAAATTTAGAGCTCCACGTTCATCCCGCTCTCAGTTTGACTGACGCTGCTTTGAACAAACAGTGACGGACTCCGCGCACCAGATTTCGACGACTCCTTCTTTCAAGCGCCGTTTTCATTTCGACGTCAGGCACACAGCGGAGTTTTAACGCGATCGACAAGTTGGCGCCGACAGGGGGCGCGCGGCGTCCGCAGTGAGAATTTTCGTCCGCGTCAAGCTGCGCGAGGAAGCCTGGGACTCGAAGTGTGTCAAATTCAAAATAAAATCCCCGCCGCTGGTTTTATTTCTGAAGCTATTTAGCGCCAGCCAACACTGAAACACCAAAGACACGAGAAAAACGAGAAAACATCAAAACAAAGTGAGAAGGCTAAGCAAACAACAGAAAAGCTGAATTAACGCTGTAAAACACATAAAATTATAAAAAAAAATCAAGTAAAGTTAAGTCACGGTTGGGTTGAAGGATAATATGTGAAAATACGTTTTTACACGAGTTGTTGTTTATCATTTTAAATATTAAATCTGGAGTGCAGCGGCTCACGAAGCCGCGCGACCTTTACTCTGAAGGTCCATTCCCGGAAGTTGTGCTCATACGTTCTTGCCGGTTTGACCCCGCTCCCTCGCGCCTACTCCCTTGCAGCGTCGGCCACCCGCTCCCAGCTCACCGCAGAGCCGAGCAGCAACGCACCGCCTCCGGCAGGGCGGGAGTGGAGAAGAATATTATGGCTCCAGGTGACCGCAGCGCGGAGAGTCCCGGCGAGACTCGGCGGGGTTCCGGCCCCTGTCCTCTCCGACGATGAGGCGGGCATCCCCGCAGGCAGGCAGCCCTCGCTCCTTCCAATCCCTCCGCCACACGGACTGCGTGATGCGGACCCCGCCGTTCAAGAGTGAACGTCCTGCGGCTTGGAGGTGATGGTGTCCTCGCCTCCTCTGCCCGACCTGCCGGATCTAAACACTCACCGGGACTCGCTGCTTATTGATTGAAACAGTTTTTTTTGTTTTGTTTGTTTTAAAAAAAAATCCTAATATGAACGGACTTGAGCGGGAAATTTCTACTATGATCCGACGGCCATAACCCGAGCCGGAGATCATTGAAGTCATCTGACAGCTGGAGCTCATGATGGCCAACAACAGCGAGCTACAGGTTTGCTGTTCAACTTTATTTCAAAGGCTGCTCTCATATCCAGGCACAGCTCTAAAGTTCAAAAGCTGTGGCTTTTTAAGATTTTCCGACATCTTGACAGTAAAAAGCCACAAAAGTCAGTGTAATATGAGTGAAATTGAAATTAATCTCAGCTTCCCAAAAACCCACGCAGTTATACTTTGCTCTAAATCAGTTTCAGCTGTAAGGTTGTGGTTGTTGTCCTCTTTGCCAAACTTTCACCATCCGGATCTTCCTGTTGCAGGCCCACACCATGATGCTGCCACCCTCTGTGTTTCAGTCTGTGGGTATTTTCATGGTGATTTGTTTTGATTTTCTAACAGGATTACCACATATTTAGCTCAATCCATCTTCCAAATAACTCTCACCAGCTCGCCCCCACAGCATGACTCCACAATCACCATGTCTCAGTGTGGTGTGAATTCATTTAGCTTAAATTTATTCGTTTATTTAAGCGGGACAATGCCCACAGGCATAGGACAGAACAAGTAAGGCAAAAATTTTGCATTGCGTGTGGATGAATATAAATGTGTGCAAAATACTTTTTTTTTTGTCCCGAAGGGAAGCTAAATGTTGTAAATCTAATCATCCAGCTGTCTCCAAAGTATCTTTGCGTATGGTGATGCCGTGGAGCAAAGAAGGACCTCCAATAGCTGTCAGTTTCACATCGAATCTGAGGAGGCCTCTGACTGAAGACTGTCGCTAACAGCTACGCTAACAGCTCAGTGTCCGAGTCAGTCAGTCTCTCTCAAGAACAGAGCTACAGGGGGCTGATTTTCACACCTTTGTCATTGTGACTCCCGCTCCGTCACAGATGCGTTGCAACAGACAGAAATAGTCACAGTTAAGCCAGCCGCGTTTACTTCCACCGTCCCTCTGGGGGCATATCGGATCGGCCCGGTTGAACTGACCCGTGTGTGACGTGGCGTTCACCCTCAGGAGGAGTCGTGTGAAGCCTGCTGGTGTCTGATTTAAGGCTTCAAGTTACGCTAGTGTCACTGGAGGAGGTGAATGTTGAAAAATTCACGGTAGCGAGGCGCTCCGGAGACCTCGGACCACAGCCGCCTGCGATTGCTCCGAGTAGCGTTACGGCCCAAGGCCTTTCCTCTGGGTTTTAACATCCCTGTTCTAGAACTTCTAATTGGTGCTGATTGGAAGTGGAGGCTGCTGGCAAGTGTCTCCAGAATGACATCAGATCCAGCTTAAGCTGCACCATTCCTTCTCACTACCCTGGCCCATTTCTTTCTTTCTTTCTCTCTCCCTTTCTCCCTCTCCTCTCCCACCAGTTAAGACTTTTGTCATATAAATCCCATTTTAAGTTATCCCATGCGTTGCTTCCCTTTAATTTGTCGTGGTTCTAGAGCCAGACCATAACAAAAGGCAAAATATCACAACCGCAAAGCCGTACCTCATACTTCCTGTTCCTGTCTGCTCACGTTAGCCTGCCTGCTCTTGGTCTTTTCGCACTCTAATTCTGCAAACCGCCAGGCAGCCAGCGTGAAGATGCAAGATGTGAAAATAAAAGAGAGCCGTCGCATAGCTTTCCCCCCCCCCCTCTTCAGACCGTTCCGGGATCAGTTTGAGTGACAGAGCAATCCTTCCCTGGATGTAGAAGGTGTTCTCTGAGTTTCCTGGAAGGCTGCGTTGCCCGTGTGGGTATGTGGAGGAATGCTAACAGCTGATGTGGGCTGCAGGGAGCCAGAAGGCCAGAAGGCTCCCTGCAGCCTGCAGGGAGCGGGGTATGGTGTAGCCTACAGCAACGCCAGTCACTCCACAACCGTGTTATTCTCAGTTTGGGTTTAATCCCCACTGAGTGTGAGTGTTTTCAGTCAGCAGGGCTCACATCTTGGAATACGCCAAGATGTGATCTACACAAATGTGCAAATCTACTATTTTCCTAAATGCATTCATAACCATTTCTTTGATGGTACCACCGCAACTTTCTTTTCTGCGTTTTGCTGACATGTGGTAGAGCTACATTAAGTAGTGCACAATGTGCATAGTGGAAGGAAAATTGAATGTAGGTTGTGCAGTTATACACAGGAAAAGTGTGGCATGCCTTTGCGCTCTTGTTATTCTCACGCCTCCAAAAAACCACATCTGACTGCCATCAAAAGTCACAAATGAGACTAAAATAGAACTTTTTGGGCTATAGTGGACCCTATGAAATGAAAGGACTCGGGTACTAAGATTAGCTTAAATCAGGAAATACTTGAGTCCCCCTCTAAAAACACTTATGGATGCCTATTTTAGTAGTTCACACATTAAGTATACCTTTAAAGCGTTACTATGCATAGTGGCAACCGTCTTGGCACTACTGCAGAAGGTAGCCTTTGCAGTCTTCCTTATCCCTGCTTTTGGGGCTTCGGCCAATCAGCAGCAAGGGAAATAAATGGTGCTCCTGCATGGATGAACACCACCTTATTGGCTGGTGCACCGAATATTGGCTGGTGTTTGTCGGGTGTACCGAATGCAGTTTGCTGGCCGATTGCCAATCTTTACAATTTTGGCCAAAAGCAATAGAGACGGCGTGGCCACTTTTCTCTGAAACGTGGCCAAATATAGTGAAGAAGTTGCTTATTTGGCAACAGTGGGGTGACAACACGTAACCGCGTGTTTTATTTGTGACCAGGTGGGCGGGTGTCTCGGTCAGACCTCTCCTACGGCTGATTTTCAGACCTTTGCGGCGGTAGATAAGATCAGTGGATGAGATCATCTTCTCATTATAGTATTGGCCAATCGCCTTTCTCCGAAAATTTATCTGTACCCCCCCAGTTGTACTTTGACAAAATGCAGAAAGCTTGAAAGAAGGGGCCATTGGACTTAAAATGTATGGCGCGTGTCTGAAAATTGCAAACTGACCCGTTCACCACACTCGTATTTGAGTCTCTTCCGCATATTTCTTGTTCTTGTCTTGTCCCTGTTTATCATCCAAGCTATTCTGTCTTGACCTAAAATTGCGTTGGTGGAAAGACAAGAGTTTCCTCTGGGTTTTAGACATTCTCTGCTTCAACCCACCCAGTCCACGTGGCAGAACTTAGTGGCACAGCGTTCAGGTAAATCATTTCTTTCGATCGGGCATGCTGGAGCCGGGAAACGACTAAAACCTGCAGGACAGCAACAG